TATATACACCTATATTATACACACCTTGTAACTGCGTCATTATTTAATATGTTATCACAGAGCCAGGGTACACACTGAAACACAGAGATCCCTCTCAGTGTGTGCACGCGCGTCCTTTGCATCAGTAAAATGCGATCGGTTCATTTGAGCGTCAGGTTGTATCACGGATCGAATCAAATGAAGATTTTATCAACTGGTTCAGAGGCCAATTGTTTAGAGTTAGAAATGTATAATTCACGCTGCATTTAGTAATTTTGCCTCAGGTACCGAATCTGAGACTGGGGCGCCGGTAACAAACGCGCTCGGGCCGCAGCAAACGATTTATTTCGCCATTTAATAAACAATATTCAGTCAGATAGGTATTTGTTGTGAAAGAAACAGTTACAATTTCAAGCACTTTCAAGCATTTTATCCAAAATGTAAGCACTTTTCAAACCTTGAAAACACAACATCAAAATTCAAGCATTTTCAAGGATTTCAAGCACCCGTACGAACCCTGAATATAATTTGATCCAAGAACACAAATACATTCATTTACTTATTTACCAATTCATTTTCTCATTCAGACATGCGAATAATCTGTGCAAGTGTTTCTGAAGTGCTGACTGGTTACTCTTTTCAGGTGAAACTATTCCAAGAGGAGAGAAAGGTCCACCTGGTGAGACTGGTCTAAAGGGGCCTCCAGGGCCCCAGGGACCTCCCGGACTTCCTGGTCATGTCATGCCAGGACCTCCAGGCAAACCTGGTCCACAAGGTCCACCAGGACTCCCTGGAATTGGAAAGCCAGGAATGCCAGGTTTGCCAGGAAAACCTGGAGGTATAGGTTTACCAGGACCAAAGGGTGAGTTGGGGCCAATTGGCGGTAAAGGGCCATTAGGAATGCCAGGACCTCCAGGTCTTCCAGGGCCACATGGTCTACCAGGTGTGTCGAAACCAGGTGGACAAGGACTTCCAGGACAACCTGGTCCACGTGGAGAACCTGGACAAAAGGGATTCCCTGGGATCCCTGGTCTCCTAGGGCCAAAGGGTGAGAATGGGATTGGTCTCCCAGGACTGCCAGGTATAAAGGGACCTTCTGGACTTCCAGGACCACCAGGACAAGTAGGAATACCGGGAGTTGGCAAGCCAGGACTGAATGGACTACCTGGGGCTCCTGGAGGCCAAGGTAAACCTGGTGCACCTGGAGAACCAGGATTGGCTGGAGTCCCAGGGGAGAGAGGACAAATAGGACCACCGGGACAACCAGGCTTTGGCAAACCTGGTTTGGATGGCTTACCAGGGAAACCAGGTCTCCCAGGTGGAAGGGGCGAACCAGGTCTTTCTGGTTTACCTGGGGGCCCAGGCTTGCCTGGGTTTGGCAAGCCTGGATATCCTGGCCCTAAAGGTGATAAGGGGCATGGTGGTTTGCCTGGCCCTCAAGGCCCTAAAGGTGAAAAGGGTCACGGTGGCCTTAATGGAATGATTGGACCGCCAGGGCCAAGTGGCCTCCAAGGTCCTCCGGGTCTCATGGGACCCCCTGGAGGCATTGGTTTCCCTGGTCTAAAAGGAGAGGGCGGTGCAGTAGGACCTAAGGGACAACTGGGTCCAAAAGGTGAACCAGGGCCCCTAGGACATCCAGGCAAGCCAGGATTCCCAGGAGAATTGGGGCAACAAGGACCGAGAGGCTTACCTGGTTCCTTAGGACCTAAAGGTGAAAATGGACACAAAGGCCTACCTGGCGTACCTGGAGCCCCTGGAAAATCTGGTGTAAAAGGAGAAGGTGGATTTCCAGGAGAGAAAGGTCATCCAGGGCCTATGGGAATCCCAGGATTAATGGGTCCAGCAGGACCAATAGGCCCACCTGGGCTACCAGGCCCAAAAGGCCAATATGGACCACCAGGAAAACCTGGAATGCCAGGTGAGGGCAAACCAGGGCTTCCAGGCCCAATAGGTCCTGCTGGTATACCTGGAATGGATGGGTCCCCAGGTCAACCTGGAAGACCTGGTCCTCCTGGCCCACCTGGCCTACCTGGACCTCCCGCTCAAGCTCCGTTTATCGGGCAAATCCTTCCTGAGAGTGGTCCTGGGCTAGATGGGGCAAAAGGTGGTTACAAGAAAGAAAAGCCTGGAGAAGCCATTATTGGTAGGAGTGGCCTAGAGATGCCAGCATTTACAGCTCTGCTGACAACCCCATTTCCGCCAGTTGGGCAACCTGTTGTTTTCAACAAGATTCTGCATAATGGCAACCAGAATTACAACTCTCAAACTGGCATCTTCACTTGCAAAATACCTGGAATTTACTACTTTGTCTACCATGTTACTTGCAAAGGAAACAATGTATGGGTGGCCTTATACAGGAACAATGAGCCAGTAATGTATACATATGATGAATACAAAAAAAGTTACATGGATCAGGCATCAGGGAGTGCAGTGCTGCCCTTACAATTTGGAGACACTGTTCATGTTAAGTTACCATCAGACCAAGCTGCAGGACTTTATGCTGGCCCATATGTCCACTCATCATTCTCTGGGTATTTGTTATATCCCATGTGAATATGTGAAAAAAATGACCCATATAAAATCAATGCTACATTTTTCTTAAGTGAATTGTGCATGTGTCACCAGTACAAAGCCACTTTTTGTATCTGAAAAAGATGTAAGAAATTGATAATTAAGATATTCAGTCAGGTATGTTTTATAGCAGATTGTGCTACAGTGGCAATGGAACTTCATTTATAATATACAAGAAAATGTTAAATACATGTTTTAAGGATACACATAATTACATAATATAAACGGTCTTTCAACATCTTAAGGTATTCATTCATCCATACTGTTAGCACTTTGATAGAACTTTTGTCACATTATTTATTTGCATATTTCCTATTGTTTGACAGTATATTGATTGTATATAGATGGGGTCACATTGACTACACATCAGTGTAAAATGATATTGGGACTATCATAATGAAGAATTTTCAGATTGTTGGATATGCACTATTTTCCTGCTGTCTTAGTAGTTTCTCATTGTGCCATCTCAATTAACGTCAAGAGAGTATGTGAGCACATAAGGGTTTACATTTTTAAGATTTTGCTTTTCAATGATCTCATTAACTAACACCATCAGTAAAATACATGAAATGTCATGAACCCTTACATTTAGGTTTTTTACACCCTATTGATTTGAGTATATCAGATCATTGTTTATCAAAATAAAACTCAAAGGTATTTATTGTTAATGAGCACAGTATATCAATATTTAAACGTCGATAAGGCCAGAGTTGGGTTAGTTGGGTTAGTTAGTAATTAGCCTGTTAATTATATCTTCAACAGTGTAATTAGACTACTATACTTATTACTCTCTCTAAAAAGTATTGCATTACTTACTAAATACTTTCTAAATCCCATACAGTATTGACTAGTTGAACAATACAAGGATAAACTAAGCTGCTCTTTTCATTCTTTCAAATAAATAATTTAAAATTGCGAAAAACGATTCTTGAACTGAACATAGTATTTAAAAGGAGAAGGTTACATAAATAAATAAATAAATAAAAAAATCCATTTTAACATTAGATGTTACATTTTGATGTCAAATCCACTATTGTTTCATAAATAATTGTTCTATACTCTATACAGTATTACATTAGAAGTAACTCTAATTAATTTTTTTTAAAGAGTAAATTGAAAAGTAATCCCTTACTTTACTTTTTCAAGGGAAAAATAATTAAATTGCAGTAATGAATTACTTAGTAATGAGTTACACCCAACACTGGATATGGCCAAATGAACACTAAGTTAAACGGAAACAGTCTTAGGAAACTATCTGTAATTTATTTTTAGTTTTACTACTGAATGACTCAGTTTGTATGTGCATAGAGTGTGGGGCACAAAAAACAATTTATTATTTGTTTTTAATTTTTGACAACAGTGCTGAACAGTTAAACATGGAGATACAGATTCAATGTCATTGTTGTGTGTTTTTTTTTTAACAAAATAAATTAACAGAAATTTTGTGAATTTGTAATTAGGGAATTCCACAAAAAATAAAGAATCCCTGTTTTCAATCTTGATGCTGACCATCTTTTATGCAATTTTGTGTCAGAGGACACACTTAGCCAGACACAATGGCAATGTAGGCTATTGAACAAACAACCGCATTTATACTCCATTTCATGCTTGTTTGAATGAAATTCAAACAAATTCATCTTAGTATACATGCAATAAAATTTATATATAAAAATTATACATCCATAAAAAGTTACAAAGTTAATTTATATAAACTTTTGGCTGTATTGAACTTAGTTTAGAGAAATATGTTTAATCAGTTACAAAAATCTATTTTACATATCAGGGAACATATATGATTAGTCAAAACAAATCATGTCAACAAACTATGGAGAGTAACTTCTTCAAATGAGACCTGAATTGAAAGAGAGCCAATTCCGAATGTCTGAATTTGCCTACGCTTTAAAAAAAATGTGGTCCAATTTTGGATCAAATATGGTCAAACCCAAATTTTGGGTTAAAAATGTAATTAAAACATTTACAGTTGAAATGAAGTTGCATTAGCTCCAAATAGAGTTATAAGGCCATCTAGTGGCTACAGTTATGCAATATCATGTTATATATATTCTTTCCACAAGAGGTCGGTAAAGACACCAAGAGTTATTTTGAATTTAAGTTGAAAGAATGTGCTTAAATTACTAAATTACTATTTAATTATTATTTGTTGATTAAATCTAGTAATTGAGTAAATCTAGTAAAAAACAAAAAAAAAAAACACCCACAAGTGAAGGATTTGCTCCAGGACGTGAGGGAAGGATGAGGGTTTAATAGACCTCAAACAGACCAACAAAGAGCTTAGAATGACAAAAGTTTTACATATTTTCCCAATTGATTTAACCAATGTAATGCATAATTTAATAACCAAGTGTATGCTTTGTATGATCTATCCTAGATGCAAATCTCGAAACTATTAGTGTTTCCTACTCCGCACCAGTGAGGGCGATATTGAAATATGTCCAAACGAAAGCACATGTAGAAGAAGAGCTACTTTGATCACGTTTCTACCCTATGGTTTCTACTGTGTCTGAGTATATGAAGTAGTTTTCTGGTTCAAAATAAGGTAGGCATTTTATACTATGCTTGTTCATAAATGTAATATGTTAGTGCGTGTCTGCTTGTTTGTAAAGCCGTTTATGACTGTGAATGAACATGTAACTTATGGTTTCTGTATGAAATCACTGTAGGTAGCGTCAGCAAAAGCTGTAGAAGTTGGCTTGAGTGACAGATAGTTGGGATCTTTGTTTTAGAATCAGAAATAGCTTGACAATCAGTAATATTCAATACTAAATCATATCATACGTGGATACCATTAGGATCAATTTGTTTTACTGATCAGTACGAGGTCGTGAAGTCATAACAAACAAAAACTAGTTTAAACTTTAAAAGGCAAGTTAGGATATTTCACTAAAGCAGGATTCACGGTGGGATATTTCGCATTTGAAAATAGAAAGAGCAAATGCAGTTTCTGTATAACAAGCTAGTTTGATTAAACTAACGTTAGTGAAGTGTTTACGGAAGCGTATGCTACGTTACATTACTCGCGCATTGCATTCATAGCCATTCTTTGTGAAATAATTATTTAGTCAAGCGACACAGAATTTTAAGTTTATTCCATGGTGAAATTCTAATTTTGTCATGTAAGTTACATGTATTTTTCTATAAATGTATACGTGAAACTCAAAATATATTTGGCAGAATGTAACGTTACCTCCAGCCTCTGTTCGTGTTTCTCTGGTAACTTTTCGGCCTTTCCGTGGTTTACACGTTGTTACACGTTGTGTATGCAACTTGTGCGCATGATAAACTGCAACGCGAGTGAGCTGTTTGTGTTTGCCTCATGTAACGTTAGACTTTCACACAGAAGAGAGTGAGGTAAATTTCGAGTTTACCTTTACCTCAGGTTGTCGTCGACGGTGTTGGGTTGCCATGGCATCACGAGCAGGGCCGCGCGCCTCAGGAACAGACGGCAGCGACTTTCAGCACCGCGAGCGCGTGGCGGCACATTACCAGATGAGGTACGTAAGTGTAAACAATATGATTCGTAGTAATATTTTAATCTTCCGCGTATGGTAATTCCTGTTCTACAGTACTTTTTTTGATCTCGTAAAAACAAAAAGAGTCGAAGAAAATCAATTTAATGTTTACAAAAACCATTTATAGTGCTTATAGTACCTTGGAGCATTAGTTTTGCATTATGAAATAAGTTTTAATTTTTCAGTTTTGCTGTAAATTTAAGTTTAGTTTTAGTTAGTTTCATTAGTTTAAATTTATTTTTTGTTTTGTGATCACATTTCTTTTTAGTTTTAGTTTAAGACATCTTGACAAATAAAAAAATGGTTTGAGATGAAATCTTTGTGAACCATGCCTTGTTTACTTGTTTACAGTTTTCAGGTTAAAAGAAGTTGCGTCTCATAACCTTGTGTTATTTCCCATTACACTGCCACCAACACATTCTTTGTGATCATTCACTTAGGACTTGCGATGTTCTACGTTACGGCCCTTCATTGAGCGTGTTCCACAGAAACTTGTTTGGAACTTGGGATAATCCACTTGTAGTCGTAGACCAAGTACTTAAATTATTTAAAATTAATCAAAGGCAATTCTACAAAAAAGGCAATTCTACAAAAAAACACATTATAAATGTTGCTAAAACATATTACAAAGACTGTGAACTGTGAAGTACTGAAATGTGGAGTTAGACCGTTCAACAGTTTTTCACCATTGCAATTTTACGGATTGTTTGGGCGGGGCTAAAACAGGGCTCGATGATGCACTGAAGCCCATGAGCTCCTGGAGACGCCCCTATTTGATGACACACAGAGTCTGATTTCTCCCCTAACACACAATAACACTCCCCGAGCACATTCGCATTCACTGCTCAATCGCGAGTGACTGTCAGTACAACTACAGCTGAGCCTACAGTTTTCTAGCTAGCTATGCCTTCGACACAGAAATGCATTGGCTACTACCTGGATGCGATCATGTACAAAACAGATCGGTATCTTTTAAATTCCCTAAAAACGATCACATCAAGACGAGGTCTTTAGAGAACCAACCTTGGTGAAGAGCTGAGGATCACTGTCAACACCCGCCTCTGTAGTGATCATTTTACACTGGATAGTTTTATAAACTTTCCTCAGAGACAACTGGGATTCACTGATAATCCACTGTTCCTGGTGAACGGGGCCGAAACGGCTATCTCCCGCCTCAGTGTTCATCCTCCCGTCGCGAAAGCAGTATCAGCTAATATCACCATCAACAGCTTTCCCGTGAGTGGGCGTGGCTTCAGCGCAGCCAGTGGACACGCCCCCAGCGTTTGAGAACAGAGATAACTGCTCATTTTTTCAAGATTTTGATAGCTTATTTTATGTACTTGCCGGCTTTTTTTATCATTCAAATTTGGCTGGGTGGCTAATAACACATTTTTCTGTGGTGTGACAAACTCAGAACACATAATTAATTTTGACTTTACAGGGACTTTAAGACGTGATGAGGCCTTAAAACTACTTAAAAAATACTAATGTATTACATTTTTAATCTCTGAAGTTACAAACTGATCCTGTTGAACTGACCCCTTCTCAATCCCTCCAGTGTGGCCCTGAAGTCTGAGATCAAGAAGCTGAACATCGCTCATGCAGTGGTCTGGTTTCTTGTAGCAGCACAGGTGGTGGTCAACCAGCTGAACCTGGTATCCCATAAAGTGGTGGCCTCTCCATACCAATGGGAGTACACATATCTTCTGAGCATCATACCTACAGTCTTCAGCTTCATGGCTTTGCCGAAAAACAACATCAGTTACCTGGTCATCTCAATGATCAGCGCTGGGCTTTTTTGTGTGGCTCCTATTCTTTATGGAGGGATGGAGATGTTTCCAGTGGCTCAGCAGCTTTATCGCCACGGCAAAGCTTATAGGTACATCTTTGGCTTCTCTGCCGTGTCTGTAATGTACTTAGTCTTGATTATTTCAGTTCAAATACATGGCTGGCAGATCTACTACAGCAAAAAGCTGCTGGATGCCTGGTTCACCAACACACAAGAGAAAAAGAAGAAATAAGAGACTGCTGGAGAGTAGATGTCTGTCAGCTTCTTCTCTGTGTCTTTGTTTCCTGAGGGCTCTTTGATCACATACGTTTTTATGATTACCTGACTAACTAATTTGAGCCTATGAAGAGATCAGATTTGTTAAACCAGGATCTTCTGTTCTTCCCACCCACTGGCTCGCGGCCCAGATTCTGATTAGGTCTGAACTTCTGCCTTTGTAATCTCTGTCTGTCTGCCACCATGTTTTCCACATGCTGTGTAACATATCCTGTTCCTCCACAAGGGACGTCCCTGCAGTTGCACCTCATTGCAGTACACGAGATCCAGGGGGAGGAGTTGGATCCAGATCTAAGGGGTGGAGATGGGTAGGATTAGTGGTGGGGATAGGAATCAGAGGACGGAGATGAGTAGGTTTAGGTATATGTAAGGTGGGAGGAGTTGGAGCTGGATCCAACTCCTCCCCCTGGACTTCGTGTTCTGCAGTGAGGACCATCTCCATCCCTGGGAAATATATCTTCAGTTATGAAACCCACGGCAAAGTTATCCATTTACTACAGTAATGTATGTAAGACAGTCTGCTCTTTTCCACGAATCATCTTGCAATTAAAATATTACAATATGTATACATTTTTGTCCGTTTTTCAATATATAGACTTGAGCTTACAAAATTTAATATTGGCTAATTATTTAATTTTTATGCCCTCTTTTTTTCTCTTTATATATGATATTCCACCGAACAACAGTAGTAGGGTATTGGTTTCTAGAAATGGCCAGCAGATAATTAACTATCTGTGACGTAGTAAGGGTTGACATTGGGTTTATGTATTTACTTGAGATTTGTTACTTTTTTAATATAAGCCATAATTTTTGACTGCAGTGGTGTCAGTAATGTAATCCAAAAAGTAAATTTGAATCAAACCAGCCTATAATAAATAAGCAAGTCCATCAGACGCACCAATTTTCCAACTCTTTAAACTGATAACGAAAATAACATAATTCTGTCTAGGTGACATTGGGATATCCAAGCTCTATTATAGTTTCAAGTTGATGCATGAGACTGGCTTTTGCTGTACATGGCAGACTATTTCTTTAGGTCTCATCCTTTTAAATCCTTTTGTAGTCAGTATGTGAGTGGATAACAGCTGAGTTGATGTGAAGGTTTCTAGGTAAGTACATATCCTTCATCTCTCAGTCTCATGGATGCACAGGTTCTGAGCTTTATAAGCTTACACAGATTAACTGTTTAACCTTTGCACCTCAGTCTTCTTTCTTTCCTATGGAAGTTCTTGTGCAACACGTTTCTGTCATCATTCCAAATTCAGTCATAATCTCAAAGTACGTTTTCATCATCAAACCATCAAATCTGCATTCAAAAAATGCTGGGTTCAGACAATTGGGTAATATATATATATATATATATATATATATATATGTTTTAAGTGCCATTTTCTTTCCACACGTTCCCTTTAGCTTCTCCTGTTGCATCCTACAACTTTTACTAAATATATATTTATTTTTTTGAGTAGGCCATGAACTTGAATCAATAGCACACTATTTTATGGTTGTAAAAGACTGCTCTGGATAAACAATCTTATGGGCAAACTGCTCCTATTCTATTTTATATGTGTTATTTAAAATGGAAAAAGGTTAAATATCAGGTTTACTGGTCACTAGCCCAGCAGGCCTTGTTTGTGAGGTGGAGTTGTTCGTGATGAAAACCACTGACAGGAAAATACTCGTCTCGTCTGAATGTTCACGTCATCATACAGGTGCACGTGCATAGCTACATTTAGGCAACTAATTATTTCTGTACTAGAAAGGCAGAAACGTTTCTACATCATAATAGTTTTCTGCTTTTGGGGTTTTGCACTATAGAGAGATTCGCCATTAATTTGCCTGTTGTTCAATGGCGTAGCTGAAGTGCGTGATTGCTGACAATAATTTGCATCTAAAACGAGGCTCACTTTGAATAACAAAAGTGAAGTTGAGAAAAGGGTAATTAATCTTTAAAAGTTTGACATACGTCAATCTTTTACACAATGCAGTGTTTATTTGGACGTGAATTCCGTTTGTTTGCGTCGTATAGTGTCTGTGTAACCGCGTGTGCCTGCTTTGAATCTCTTCGTGTTCTACAGTGATTCATTCTTATATAATGACATGTACACATATTAAGTTATTTACATAATATTTGGCACATTTGACATGTTTCTTTAAAACCCTTGAAGTCCACCCAAATTCACTGACCCTATTGGCTCATCTGAAGAAGAAAAAAAAAAGTCGGGAAAGCTGCATGAGGATGAGTAAATGATAATTTTCATTTTGGTTAGGCTAATAGTTAGGCCTACTTGACACTTTTATCCAAACTAGTTAGGCTATGCCCGTGTAGGCCTTGTAGGTTCTCTAATAATTTTAGTTCAGTAGTAAAATGCAGTTAGGCTATATGTCCAATGTTGTCACTGTCATGTAATGATACCACCTGTCATGTTTCTTTTCATGTTTGGTTTTTGCAAAACATTGCCCATTACCGTGTCCATAGCCTTTTTCCCCTTAGAAATGCAAATATCTGTCATGTCAAACTCAACATCTGAGATCCTCCTACATAAGTCATAACCAGGCATGCTCGAGAACCAGATCATTAATGTGGAGATGATGGATCGCTTCATTCTGCTGCTCATGTTTCTTTCAGGTAAGTTATTGTAACATTACAGGCTAACTTTCAGGAAAAAAAGATGTAATGCAGGGATTTTTTTTTACGAACAGATAGAGGTTCTCTCTCTCTCTCTCTCTCTCTCTCTCTCTCTCTCTCTCTCTCTCTCTCTCTCTCTCTATATATATATATATATATATATATGGAGAGATATCTAATTATATATTATTTATTAACATAGCTTTCATTATGGCATTAACAGACAAAGAGGGAAAACAATCCTGTTTTTATATGTTTTCTGCAATTTGAAAAATTATGCCCAACAGGGGTACTTTTTTATTTGTGAAATATTATTACAATTCAAAATAACTCCAGGCACTCAGTGGGATGCAAAACATAAAAAGCCTTTAATATTTTAAGGGTTAAAACATTAAAACGTGTATCGGCCCAATGGCCTTCATCAGGGTGTTGGTCTACAGTATATATTAAAATGTAATTTATTGCTGCAATCAGCATTAGGGGAGAGTGGGGCACAACTCTGCTACAAATGAACACTTAAAATTTTATTCTAGGACCTACCATTTTCGTACAGTTGCACTGAAAGTGACAGAAGTGCAAATGTTACAACTTACCCCATATGTGGGGTTAATTGTAACAGACAGAGGGGTTAGTTGTAACACACATAATTCAGTACTATTTTATTTGTATAGTTTGATATTGTTTGTGCATCTGTATAGATATACATACATCCATCCCTCATCCAATCATCCTTCTATTATGGATCAATATCATGGATAGAGACATAGAAAAGGGCTGCAGAGTTTTGAAATAAATAATAACAAATAAAATCATAATATTGTAATTGCAATTGAATTAGATTAGTGTGTGGCAGCTGCATGTAAAATTATTATTATTAATAAAAATAACAGTAATAATACAATTAAGCCAAAATCTAAATTTAAAGGGTTTATTGCATTAACCCTTTGATGCGCAAGCTATGGATACCCCTTCTAATGCGCAACATGGGTCTAAAAAGACCCGTATTCATTTCCTATGGTATTTCAGTGATGGCTGAGTGTTTTCTTTGCTAATCTTTAAAATATATGTATTTTATCATTTGTTATTCCAGGTTTTCATTAAATATCTTGTTTTTGATTTCCACAAATCATTGGGTTTATGTTTCCTTTCTTACTTTATAAACAAACACAGTTTTTGTATTTCTACATCAATTTTACATGAAAAAGACCCGTATTCATTTGCTATGTTATTTAATGCATGGCTGGACTTTTCTTTTCTTTTTATCTTTTGAGATCAATTTATTTAAGCATTTAATATTCCATTATCTATAAATTTCATGATTTATAAATATTTAAAAAATATTTTTTTCAATTACCAAAAATATTTTTTTTTCATTTTTTTCCTAGGTTTTGTGTTACTATATCAAATGTACTTATCAAGCATAATAAAACAAAAGAATAAAGACAACATTTTGTTAAATTAATCATCTTAGAAGTAATTTAGACAACACATTTAACAATTGAAATGTTTATTTGCCACTTTGTCTCGCATAGCATTCACATATCACAGATAACTGATAACACTGAAATTGAACTGTGGTGTAGTGTAACTGTATTGAATTGTGGTGAATGTGATCAAAGAAAAGAAAACAGAAAAAATAAAATCACACTGGTACAGCAGCATCTCAAATTGCCATCTTAGTGCTTACATGCCTCACAAATGACAACTACATGTTTGTGCTCCTTGCACACAGGCCTGGTGTTTTGGGAACACCAGCTGCTGACTTTTCTGTCTTTAGCAAAGCTGGGCATCATTTCAATCATAGAATGATTTCAGTATAAGAATCATTTCAGCATATGAATGATTATGAACTGTTAGGCCTACTAAATGTAAATAAGCTTTAAAAAACAATTTTTTTTTTTTTAGTGTATAGTTAACATTAGCTAGCTAGAATATGTCAAAAGCTAGCTAGCTAATAGTATTGGACATGTTTCTCCTTCTCACAAGTAATTTCTCAATAGGTTTACAAGGTCAAGGTAACCATAGCCTAATATTGAGATATTATGTTGTAATCTTTTACAAGATATATAAAAAGTCTGTGGTTAAAATAAAATAAGATTAATAATAATTTTTGACCCATGTATGTAAAATTGATGTAGAAATAAAAAAAAAAAACCCTAACAAAATGATTTGTGGAAATTAAAAACAAAATATTTAATGAATACCTGCAAGAAATGATTAAAAAACATATTTTAAATTAAAGATTCAGCAAAGAAACACTCAGACATCACTGAAATAACATAGCAAATGAATATGGGTCATTTTAGACCCATGTATGTAAAATTGATGTAGAAATACAAAAACTGTGTTTGTTTATAAAGTAAGAAAGGAAACATAAACATAATGAGTTGTGGAAATCAAAAACAAGATATTTAATGAATACCTGGAATAAGAAATGATAAAAAAAACATATATTTTAAAGATTCAGCAAAGAAACACTCAGCCATCACTGAAATACCATAGGAAATGAACACGGGTCTTTTTAGACCCATGTATGTAAAATTGATGTAGAAATACAAAAACTGTGTTTGTTTATAAAGTAAGAAAGGAAACATAAACCCAATGATTTGTGGAAATCAAAAACAAGATATTTAATGAATACCTGGAATAACAAATGATAAAATACATATATTTTAAAGATTCAGCAAAGAAAACACTCAGCCATCACTGAAATACCATAGGAAATGAATACGGGTCTTTTTAGACCCATGTTGCGCATTAGAGGGGTTGCTATACAAAAACTATTTTTATTCAAAAAGTAAGAAAGGAAAAATAAAATAAGGATTTGTGATGATCAAAAACAAGTTAATTGAGGAATACCTGGAATACTGAATGATGAAATTAATTTCTTGCAAAGATATAGAAAATGAAAACTGAGTCGGGTCTATTTAGACCCATGTTGTGCATCAAAGGGTTAAAAACAGGCCATATTTTGAAGAAATAAACAAGTGATCAATGCATAGTAAACTAAAATTTTATCATTTTAAATTCAACATTGTTTGTGAAAGTCCAACAAAGTTAAATGTATAAATAAATACTCAAATCTGAAAAGTTGTGTGGCTCCCTGTTTTCATTTGATTATCATTGTACACTTGGCGGCTTAGTTGTAACACTGTGTTACAACTAACCCCGCTGTGTATTACATATTTTAAGCCTAGCTAACAGTTGCTAGGAATTGCTGACATGTTTCAAAACGGTGCTATGTTTGAGCAAACAAGACAGTGATTAAGGCAATATAAAGTTAGATTTTGAAACGTATACACCCAACTCAGAAACCGGAAAAAAAAAACCCTATTATATAAAAATTCACTTGCATGGTGTCAAAACACTCTTTGTCCAGTATCTTCACGAAATAGTATCAAAAATTTCCAGCGAGAGAAAAAGAGCGGAAACACAACCTGCTTGATCCTGACTAACTATGTAAAAGGTCCATGTTACATTTAACCCCGCGTTAGATTGTGCCCCTTGCTCCCCTACTCCAGTCTTCAGTGTCGCACGAATCTTCAGAAATCATTCTAATATGATGATTGGATCAAGAAACATTTCTTATGTCACAGCATTTGTCTGAAATAGAATATGTTGTAAAATTATAACTGTCTTTACTGTCAATTTTGATCCTTGCTGAATAAAAGGATTTATTTCTTTAAAAAAAATCTTACCGACGTAACTTTTGAATGGTAGTGTAATATTAGAAAAGATTTCTATTTCAGATAAATGCTGTTTTAAAACTAGTTTCAACCTTGATAATATTAAGAAATGTTTCTTAAGCATCAAATCATCATATTAGAATGATTTTTAAAGGATCATGACACTGAAGACTGGAGTAATGATGTCGAAATTTCAGCTCTGATCGCAGGAATAAATTACATTTTTAACTACATTAAAGTTAGAAAAGTTATTTTGAATTATAATAATATTTCACAATATTACTGTTTAAAAAAAACGATATATATTTTTAATCAAACAAATGCAGCCTTGGTGAACATAAGACTTCTTTTAAAAACGTTAACCCATCCCACACTTTTGAATGGCTGTATGTTATATATTATATTAGTGTGCTATTGATTCAAGTTCATGGCAAATATTCCAGAATTGATAATTATACAAAAAAAATAAATTGAATAAATTAAATTTATCCATCTTGATTTGACTAAATTACCTTGTTTGTTATTATTTTAGACTATATATAATTATACAAAAAAATAAATTGAATAAATTCAATTTATCCATCTTCATTTGACTAAATTACCTTTTTTGTTATTATTTTAGTGTGTGTATATATAAATGTATATGAATGTATATAAATGATTAAGGTTTAGGTGGGACTTGTACATAGATTTAAATTTTTTTAAATGCCAATACTTTAATAGCCAATATAATTTTATGAAATATCCCATTGAACTTGTCAGTTTTTAATTGTATTGGCTGGCATTCTAATATGGATGGCCCAGGTTCGGCGTATTTGCATATGTCACGGTCATTTAAAGAATTACGTGCAGGAATTTCACTTGCAAATGACCTCAAGGTACAGAGCTGTCATGGGTTGGTCTATCTCTATAGTATACTGTACTTATTGGGCCAGGGAAAGTGGCCCAATAAATGGGTTTATAAAACAATAGGCCTTTATGAAATCACATTGTACCAAACATTTCGTGCTGATCCTGATCAAATTGTTCCTTCTTTTTGAACAGCATTTACAAATGAGGGGTCAGTGACTGCTGAAGGTGGAACAACTGAAAGTTCCTTCGCAAATACTACTACACTTCTTAATACCACTACCGTCAGTTCTCCAAACACCACAACATCTGAAACTACAACCATCCCGCCAACAACTACAAACACCACTACAACTCCTACCACTACTACCACCACTATCACTCCTACTACCACTCCTAAAAGCACCACTACCATTCCTACTACCACCACTACCACCCCTACTACCACTCCTTCCACCACTACCACTCCTACTACCACTCCTTCCACCACTACCACCCCTACTACCACTCTTTCCACCACTACCACTCCTACTACCACTCCTTCCACCACTACCATTCCTACTACCACCATTACCACTCCTTCTACCACTCCTTCCACCACTACCATTCCTACTACCACCACTACCACTCCTACTACCACTCCTTCCACCACTACCATTCCTACTACCACCACTACCACTCCTACTACCACTCCTTCCACCACTACCACTCCTTCTACCACTCCTTCCACCACTACCATTCCTACTACCACTCCTTCCACCACTACCACCCCTACTACCACTCTTTCCACCACTACCACTCCTACTACCACTCCTTCCACCACTACCACTCCTTCTACCACTCCTTCCACCACTACCATTCCTACTACCACTCCTTCCACCACTACCACTCCTTCTACCACTCCTTCCACCACTACCATTCCTACTACCACTCCTTCCACCACTACCACTCCTTCTACCACTCCTTCCACCACTACCATTCCTACTACCACTCCTTCCACCACTACCACTCCTTCTACCACTCCTTCCACCACTACCATTCCTACTACCACTCCTTCCACCACTACCACTCCTTCTACCACTCCTTCTACCACTCCTTCCACCACTACCACTCCTTCTACCACTCCTTCCACCACTACCATTCCTACTACCACTCTTTCCACCACTACCACTCCTTCCACCACTACCATTCCTACTACCACCACTACCACTCCTACTACCATTCCTTCCACCACCACTACCATCCCTACTACATCTACTACCACCACCATCACTCCTACTACATCTACTACCACTACTACCATTTCTACTACTACATCTTCTACCACCACTACCACACCAACTAAAACCTTATTAAAAGCCCGGTTAACCACAACTGCAGCACCAATTATCAACCCTAACCTGCTTTTAACCACTCCTAAACCTACAGGTACGCATTGCAGAGTTCTCTGAAACCACATGTCAAACTCCGCTCCTGGGTGGTCACTCTCCTACAGAGTGCAGCTCCAAAACACCTGCCTGGAAGTTTCTAGTAATCCTGAAGTTCTTGATTAGCTGGTTCGGGTGTGTTCAATTAGATTGGCACTAAACTGTATAGGAACCCTCCAGGAACAGAGTTTGACATCCCTCTCTCAAAACCAGGCCTGTAAGACCATGGGTGCGTCTCAATCAGCTCCCGAGTTGTGAATTGGTATATCGTGTGTACACAGGTAAGGACGCTAGTCACTATGGGACAATGATTAATCAATCTCCGGCAACGTGACTATGTGCAACGTCAACGTATAGTGTTGTAAAAAGTTACCGTTGGTATTAATCAACAACAGGCAGGAATGATATCTTTATAATATTATTTGTTATGCTTTGTAAATGCATAGTTCTGTTGCATATCCTTAAAACGTTTCAGCTGAATATTAATTATAAATGTTAACTAGATGTGTTCACTACCTGTCTAGCATTGTGTGTTTATGGTGACATAATAAAAAACGGTTTGTCTTTTCAAATCTTATAAATCAATACATTGAGTTGGCTCTTGCATTTTATGTTTCGCGCTTCAGAAATGTGATGTAATTACGAGTGAGCAATGCTCCCCTAATCTCAATGTTCCCTAGTTTTTGTGGTACATTGTGGGATTTGTTAGGGAGCGAACATTCCAGTGCACTGGAAGGATTTTGCGAGTCACGACTGAGACGCCCTGATCAGTGTCCGACTACTGAAATAGGGAGCTGATTGAGATGGACCCCATTTTAAGACTTGATCCAGGATGACGTTGACTTGTTGACATGACAGTACCCAAAAGGATTGTGTTGCAGGTACTACCTGTCCAGAAGAAACACTCAACGGTTTGACCTTTCCAGTCACTGTGATCGGCCAGTTTAATTATTCAACACAGCTATGCCCTCCAGGAACAACCAGTGGTATGTTTTAAGTACATAGATAAGCATGATGCTAAATAAATAGCAAAAATATTATTTTTTTAAAGAAATTAATACTTTTATTCAGCTTGGATCTATTGCAAATACTCAAAAGTAGTACTAAATACATTTATTATGTTACAAAAGATTTCTCTTTCAAGTAAAGGCTGTTCTTCTAAAATTATATCCATCAAAGAATCCTAAAAAAAAGGATCCTGATGTCCACAAGAAAATATTAACTTCTTAAGCATCGACTAATCATTTTAGAATGATTTCTGAAGGGTCACGTGACACTGAAGACTGGAGTAACTGCATCACAGGAATAAATTACATTTTAAAATAGAAAATATTTTATATTATTATAATATTGCTGTTTTTACTGTGTTTTCGGTCAAATAAATCCAGCTTTTGTGATTATTAGACTTATTTATGAAAAACAATAAACATCTTTCCCCAAACTAATAAATGGTTTAATATGCAAAGGATCTGTGTGTGTGTGTGTGTGTCCTAAATCACTAATTATAATATAATGTTGACAAACTACACATTATTATAAATGTATAAAGCCTCATCTATTGTACAATAGAAATCGTATAACATCTGTACAGTGAATTTAATTTGGGTCAGAAGTACATATGATATGCTAAAGTGCAACTATTTTAGTTTTGTTTGTGTTCTTAAGTTAACCTGTTTAACCTGTCTTGTATGTCTTATTTGTGTCCTTTAGCTGGTGTTCCTATGGCTTCGGCTCAGTGTTTGAAGTTCACACTCTTTAACGCATTTGGTGGACTTAAACTTCTGAACTGTGACTTGACCCTGGAGCTGTTCGAAAGCAAAGTCAACGTCTGTATTTACATCTTTGAAAAGTTTGAACAAATTCACATTCATTTTGAATGACAATTTGTTTTATTTTAGATATGTTCGGAAAGATTGTTGCACTTTGTTAAATATTACATATATATATATATATATATATATATATATACTACTCTCGCTGAGTATAATTGCACTATAGTCCATGTACTGAAAGTGAAATGTAGTGAGTGAAGTAGTGAAATGTAAAAACTAAATATTCGATTACACTTTATTTTAAAGTAAATATACATAAAGTACTAAGTAATAATAATTGGCTACATGTACAGTACTTACTACAGGGTTAGTTGTGTGTAATTATGAATAATTTATAGTTTTTACTACAGTAACTTCATGCAAAGTGTAACATAGATCTCTCAATAGATTGAACTCTGCCATTTTAATGTGCTTTTGATAGACAACTGATTGACACAGTGGTTTTGATTGTTGTATTTAGTTAACTCTGGAAGAGAATATGCATGTTGCAGCCAATGTCCAGATGCTCACATCCAAACCTGAGCAGCTGACGTCCCAGAACATCACCTCTGCTGCTATGACTGCCAATAGCCTGCTGTCCTCCACAGCGTTAAATGAGGCAAGAATCCTATGACTTTCAGCACATGTAGAAACATTAATGTGCCCAAATTATGCTATTTTAAAGGGTCCTGATTTTGTTTCGGAGGTCTCCTACAGTAGGGTTACAAGCATCAAAGTTAGAAAATGACCACTGTCATTCAAAGATTCAGCCTCCCTAAACGCCTTCTTACTATGCTCTGATTGGTCAGATGGCCCAGTCTGTTGTAATTGGTCTTCTCTGCTCTGATTGGTCAGATGGCCCAGTCTGTTCTGTTGTGATTGGTCTTCTCTGCTCTGATTAGTCAGATGGCCCAGACTATTGTGATTGGTCTACTCTGCTTGATCAGACGGTCTAGTCTGTTGTGATTGGTCTACAGGAAGTGAGACTGGAGTTACTGATGACTCATTTCAGCAGTTCAGAATTGATTCTTTCTTTTAGGAGATGAAAACGTACTCAGTTACTTACGTAACCTCATATCTCTCTAGAAGAGGTTCTCTCGTACTGTGTAATATCTTACACTAGGGGAAAACCTCTTTTCCACAAGATATTGAAGCCAAAAATGATCCTTAATTTTGAATCAATGTAAAATGTGCAGCATGGAGACATAGGCAAGGCGGCTATTGGCTGTCCTGCGGCAACTGCAGCAGCCTATCGAAAGAGACAATGGGGGCGTTTTGCGGCCACTATATTACAAAAAATTTTTCCGGCGGTACAGCGACTGAAGGCCAGATAAAGGCCAGCGTCTTCAGATGCAAAGGCTCGTCCTGCAGAAAGCTTTTCTCAGATGGCGTGGTTTCTTCATTCCGGACCCAGCAATTTGTGAGCTTCGCTGAAGAGATGAAAAATCAGATTATCTCAGCCCATCAAGCTTTATTTATAGGCCTAAGCAACGCCTACTTTGGCGGGAGGTAGTGTAGATCTGACATCACCAAGGGCCTCTCTCGATAGGCTGCTGCTATGTGTTTTACATTAATTCAAAATTAATTTTTGGCTTCAATATCTCGTAACAAATCATTATACACTTTGATCTTTGAAATTTTGCAGAACTTTTACAATCACAAACAGCTATATTACATACTGCATGAAAGGTTGTATGCGAAAAAGCATAATAGGGGGCACTTTAAAATATGTTAGTAACTTGTTTGACTGCAGAAAACTCGTTATGTATAAATGTAATATAAAATGTTTTTATTATACAGACAGTTGCAGTGTCAGCAATGGCCACCATCAGTCAGCTCATGCAAACTGATGAAAACCAACACTCTGAAAACACTTATGATGCCCTTGAGAGGTATTTACACTATTTCAAATCCATTTTGATATTACAAAAAAGATAAATGTTTTACCTGGTCAGCCAAATGTTATTTGGTTGATCAGGTTAACCTCACATTTTAAAATTTATCTGGATTAAATCATTAACATATTGAAAACAATAACAATATACCCAACATAGTTGACGGCAATTAATACACTCCTTGATGACAGGTCATTGGAGATAAAATATAAACGATATACAGTATAAGTCAAGTCACATTTATTTATATAGCGCTTTTTACAATACAGATCGTTACAAAGCAGCTTTACAGAGATAACAGAAAAATAATGGAACAAAGTTTGTTTCCAAAAGAAAATAGCTTTACAGTCCAGCTTAAGTAAATTCAGTGATGTTTCATTTTTGTTGTAAGAAAGTTATTAATTTAGTTAATATATATATATATATATATATAGAGAGAGAGAGAGAGAGAGAGAGAGAGAGAGAGAGAGAGAGAGAGAGAGAGAGAGAGAGAGAGAGAGAGAGAGATCACATTGTTGTTGAATATTAAATTAAATGTTAAATTTAATGTCCCCAACAGCAAGCCAAAAGGCGACAAAGGCGATAAGAGGATATTTACTATAATGTGTTAAAAATATCTACCACAGAAGAAAATTAAGTTGCTCACAATCACATGGTTTGGGGTTAAACCATTTTTTTTTATTTTCAAGGGGGTGTTTAGTTAATAGCATAGTTGAATATTTTTGCGGACATGAATAACATGAAATATTTTCTTATTTGAAAGAAAAGTAAATTTAATCTCACTCTATTTTCTAAGGTACTTAGATTGTAGCAATAAATGTAATAATCTTGACTTATTTGAACTAAAGACAATTCAAAAAGTGGTCTTTGAAAAAACTGTAATTTTATTTATTTATTTTTCATTAGGATGGATGTGTTTAACTTTTTCATGTGTATTATATCTTCAGACTCACTAAGACTTTAGAGGATTTTGCTTTGAACGTTAGTAGCATGAACTCTAGTGCACTGGTGCAGCCAAACCTAGCGGTGCAACACATCAAGCTGTCAAATTGGACCCCGGAAGTGCAATTCTACGCTCAAACAGGTCAGAGCAGAAACACAAAGAGCAAATAAAGCTTCATATGTAATTGTTATATCTTTTTTGATATTATAAAGACATTTCTACTTCCTAAACTAAGCTGCATTTCACTAGGACTTTCAGGGAAATTTACTCCTGAAGGAATAGGTCTGGTTGGAGACGCTGCTAACAAGACTGCCCCTTCAGGACACCCCTTTGATCTCATGTTAACTATCAAACTGCAAAACAGTTCCCAGAAAGATTGGGGTACCGTTTATGTCTCTGTTGTTGTTGTTGTTGTTGCTATTGGTTTGAGGAACATTATTAAACCCAAAATTTTGAATAAATTTCTCTCCTTCTCCTTTCCTGTAGGGAACAAAAATCTAAGTATTGGAGTGGTGCTTTATGAAAACGACCATTTTTTCAACTCAAAACAGTTCAATAGCCAACTAGATACGAAGAGAAGGGTGATCTCTGCTAGCCTCACGGACAAAAGCTTGCTTGATAACGTGGAGTTCGCCATTAGGCCCGAGGTAAGTGAGCGTAAACTCATAATGATTACATTACATATAGCGGCTTCTCTGAATCACTCATGTTACCAGTCAATAAAACTCCTACACATGAACTATAACTGTAACGTTAGCCTTTTGTTATCACAAAACAAACCCTGTCTGGGTTATGGGGATCAGGAATGACAGGTTTGCATACTTTTGCTTAGACTTGCCCAGAAAATAAATCAATTAACATGAACTATGGATTATTCCACTGGAATTAGTAAAAGTATTAACACACTACCAGTCATTGTTTGGGAAGAAGTCTCTTTTCCCACCTGAATTTGTTTGATGAAAAATACAGAAAAAAGTGATATCGTGAAATAATATTACATTTTAAAATGGCAGTTTTCTAGTTAAATACTATATATTTAAAAATGTTAATTTAGTCCTGTGATCAAAGCTGAATTTTCAGCATCATTACTCCAGTCATACAGTAATCCTTCAGAAATAATTTCTAATTATAATAATAATTTCTGATTATTATCAATGTTGAAAACACCTGTGTTGCTTAATATTTTTATTTTACTGTGTCCCTGTTACACATATTACATGTACTTACTATAGTAATAACATTAAATTGTGCATAAATTACGCAACACAATTTTTTGATGAATTGCATTATAATATAATAAAAAGGAAAACATTTATTCTAAATTGTAATACTTTACAATATCACTGTATTTGTCATCAAATAAAGAGAAGAGACTTCTTCCAAAAACATGAAAAACTCCTAATTATTCCAAGATTCTAATGCACACAGATTTGTTTTCACATGTTTATGTTTTCAGAATATATCCAGCTTGACACTTGGCGACTTTGCATGTGTGTTTTGGGACTACGCTCATAGAGACTGGAGAACAGAGGGCTGCGTCAAAACACAAAATCCCAGTGGTGTCCAGTGTAAATGCAACCACACCACCAACTTTGCTGTTCTAATGGTTAGCGGTCATGTTAAAAGTGTTAAAGAAAATATTGAAACTTTGCTCTAAAACCTATAGTGATCTCCCTAGATAGTCTGAGTAACTAAAGTGCAACATCGCTTCCTGTGGAAACTTCCCAGACAGCAAACTGACATTGAATCAACGTGGAAACGACGTCTCTCATGACATTGAAACAACGTTGATTTTGCTCATCGAATTAACGTTGAACCAACGTCAGGTGCGGCATTCTTCAAAGCTAAATGAAAATCGAAAATTGGTTTGCTTTCATAACGTTGAAACAACGCGTTGATTTCAAGTTGATTTTCCGTTAGTTTTGAAAGAATGTACGCGTCTGACGTTGGTTCAACGTTAATTCGATGAGCAAAACAATGTCAGATCAACGTTGTTTCGATGTCATATTTCCACGTTGATTCAATGTCAGTTTGCTATCTGGGTTTATATGTGAAGAAAATAATGCTCCTCAAGGAACAGACACAGACAAGTCTCATATTTGATTTCAAGAGAATCTGTTGTTAGCATGATGCTAAGCTAACACAATCTGTTATGTTAACTTACCTGTAATGTGGTAGTAAAAATACACAGTACTTTTGGAAAAATTGGGGAATCTAGGTGAACTATAATAACTATCAAGATTTCTCTCTCTTTTTTGTAGAGCTTTAGAGCAGACTATAATTATTCTGAGGCTTTAAACTGGATCAGTATTGTGGGATGCAGTCTGTCCATTGTGGGTTTGATCCTCACTACAGTTTATCAAATTAAGACCAGGTTTGTACTAAAGCACTGGATACATTTAAAGAATATTAGTAATAGAGTAATATAGTAATGCTATTGTACTGATACACTGTAATTTTAATCCCCCCCAATATCAAATAAACTGAATTCTTTACAACTCTACAGGAAACTGAGAGGAGCCAACTCCACTATGCTCTTAGTGAACATCTGTTTGTGCATGATCACCTATTACCTGCTGTTCATTTTTGGAGTCAACAACCCCGTCCCGAACTCAAAGGCCTCTGTTTCAGAGCAGAACGTTGTTCCTTCTTCAGATATGCAACCGAATGTTGATCAGGGTCCTTGTACGGCAATCACAGCTCTGCTGCAGTACTTCCTGCTGGCCACGTTTGCCTGGAACATCATGTATGCGGCTCACGTGTTTTTCCTCATCAGAAACGCCCTCAGTGGTCCACCACAAGGTTTCCGCACCATCGCCATGGCAGCCGGCTGGGGTACATTTCATAAAACACACTGATATATTAAAAGACATCACACTTTCATTCTGTCTGCATAACTGTAAACACAGATATGGTATTACATATGTTATACTTTACCTATTTTAAAATTCTGGCTGATGATTTCATGTTATTGCCGATAACCAATAAATGGGCATATTAAAACTATTGGTAGTGCACTACTACTATAACAGTTTAGGCATCAAATCTTTATTAAATTTACAGGATGAAAAGTGGATATTCATTTTCAGGTTTACTAAAGAACTGTTATTAATTTTTACTTTTATTTAAGATTCACTTTAAGCAATTAACCCATCTTAAATGTAGAAATGAGCATGAGGATAATCATATAGGCCAACATTTAATCATTTTGATCAATTATAATGTCTTAGGTCTGCCTGCTGTTATTGTCGGCATTTCGCTGGCCACCACCTACAGCTTTAAGGACCCTTCAGGTTATCGACAAGAAGAGTTGTAAGTTAAAAATCATTTCACGTTCTTGTGACTGTGTGAGATTTCTGATTCATTGAATGCTATAGTTTAGCCTAACTAAAAGAATGACAAAGTGCTAACTAAAACTAAATAGTAAAACTAGTGACCAGTAAAACTAGTCAAGCAGTATAACAGACTGTTTCTTGTAGTGTACAGCCAAAATAAGTGTAAGCGGAGACACCGGAGCACCTCGCACATTCAAGTTACAAAAGCGCCATTTTTTATTTTTAAAAAGAATGAAAGCGTGGTTGTAAGGGATGAATAGATATAGGCCTACATCTCTTAAGTGAGTTGTGCTGTTATTGAATGTGTTCTGTTCTGCTGACGAAAAGCTGCAAAAAGTAAAATTTGATCAAGGAGCTTTACAGCTTTCTGGTCCTCTTCCTCTTACTTACCAATTATTTACACATCCAAGTATTTCTCATTCTCTCTTTGTCCTGTTTTAGCTGTTGGTTGGCATCTCTGGACAAAGCAGGAACGTTTGATCCGAAGCGGCCGATGTTATGGGGTTTCTTGCTCCCTCTAGCGGTCATGTTGTGTTTTAACACAGCTCTGCTTGTTTATTTCTCTCAAACCATCTGCTGTGCAAATCCCAACCTGAAGAGGTACGTAACCGAATCGTAAACAAATGTTCCGGGGTTAAAACAAGTCCCCGGTTATGAAGACATTCCTTGAAGTTTGATTCGGATTGAAAATTGTTTATTGAAGACTAAGTAGAAATAGTAGCTGCCTGAGGTGTGATTCTTAGAGCTTTGATGTTTAATGGCAACATAATATTTGCAGTTTAATAAAAGTTAATATTTGCTATATTTTTTGGTTATTTAGCTCACGAACCACTCCTTTAAAGAAGAAGATTTTGAGTAGTTTCTCTCTGGCTGTGGTGCTCGGTTTGTCCTGGGTCATTGGTTACTTTGTGCTCATCACCCATGACAAAACACTCTACCTCATTCTCAGTGTGGTCTTCTGTCTCTGCAATACAACACAGGTGTGTTATTACACTATTATATTTTCGACACATTATTTTTACTAAGGATAGTACATTTTTATTGGATTTATTGAAGCTGTCTTACATGTTTTGGTGACTGACGACCCCATTTTCTGTCCTTCAAAGGGTGTTCAGATTTTCTTTTTATTCACACTGAAGTCTTTTCTAAAGACGAGAGCTCGATATAATCTGGATTCTAAGACTGAATCAGGGGGAGTGCCTTAACATGAAAAATGGACAAAAAAAGCCAAGGACAAGACTAGATTGCAAGATTCCCTTTGTTTGCTGAAATGTATTTTTAGTTCAGTTTAATATTATTTAATACATTATTATTTTATCTCATATACTCTCATTAGGTACTGTACTGGTTGATTGTACTTAAAAATGTAAATCATTTCAACCTAAATTACATTAAATTAATTAGTTAAACCTAGTATGACATAAAAAGTTGAATTTTTTTTGATGAGTTAAGAAATGTAAAAGCAAATGTTGTAATTCCTTTTTGATCACGTAATGTGTTAAAGTGTTTAGTAAACTTTAGATATTATAATATATCAGACTTGCTTTTTAACAAATTATTTAAATTTTCTCACTGTTTATTAAAAGAAAGTTTATTTGAAAATATGTTGTTTGTTTTATTTATTCACGGGACACGGACACGGGAGGCACCTAGCCGACACGCAGGCAATAAGCGCTGGCGTCGACGTCAGCAGTGCTGGAGGAAATCAGGGCTTTCTGAGAAGCTCACCTAAGGAAATAATCGCACGTATCCAGTCCGTAGAGAAGAATGGCAATCAAACAAAGACATCTGAGCGGGTCCGGTACTAGGTGGTTGAAGCGAGTACATGAGGACACTGGCTCCACTCGGAGATTGTATTATCTGGCGAATGTGTTGGGTGTCGCCCAGCCTGCAGCTCTGCAGATGCCTGTTAGCGAGGCGCCATGCGCTAGAGCCCAAGAGAACGCCACACTCCAGGTGGAGTGGGCTGTCACACCAAGGGTGCACGGTCAGCCTTGCTTCTGGTATGCCAAATGCAATGGCGTCCACTATCCAGTGAGACAGCCTTTGCTTGGAGAGAGCCTTTCCCTTCAGCTTCCCACCATAACAGACAAAGAGCTGGTCTGAGGTCCTGAAACACTACGTCCTGTCTACATTGGCGTGGAGAGCTTATACTGGACAGAGCATTGCCAAGGCTGGGTCTGCCTCCTTCAGGGGCAGCGCTTGCAGGTTCACCACCTGGTCCCGGAAGGCAGTGGTAGGAACCTTGGGCACATATCCAAGTCGGGGTGTCAGGATCACGTGAGAGTAGACCAGCCCGAATTCCAGGCACGCTTTGTCAACAGAGAATGCGTGCAGGTCCCCTACCCTCTTGATGGAGGCCAATGCAACCAGGAGCACTGTCTTCATTGACAGGAACTTAAGCTCCACTGATTGCAAAGGCTCAAAGGGAGTACTCTGCAGGGCAGTTAAAACCTCTGAGAGGTCCCAAGAGGGAATGAGAGGAGGGCGAGGAGCTCCTCTCAGGAACGTGACGATCAGGTAATGCTTCCCCACAGACTTACCTTCGAGTGGGTTATGGTGTGCGGCAACATAGACTTTGAGGGTGGAGAGACGGCTTTCGCTCCAACCCTTCTTGAAGGAAGGAAAGCACGACACTGATCGAACATCTCCGGGGGTCTTCTCGGTGAGAAGAGCACCAGTTAACGAAGGAGGTTCTACTTTAACGCATAGACATGTCTCTTGGACGACGCTCTTGCGTAAGTGATGATAGCCACCACCGCAATCCGTCCCTGAGAAAGGAGGTCCTTCCTTAGGGGAATTGGCTAAGGAGGTGCTGTCGCAAAGAGAACAAGTTCGGAGAACCAGGTCTGGGTGGGTCAGTATGGCACAACCAGAATGACTTGCTCCTCATCCTCCCTGACCTTGCGCAGGGTTTGCGCAAGAAGGCTCACTGGGGGAAATGCACATTTGCAGCCCCGTGGCCAGCTGTGCGCCAGTGCATCCGTGCCGAGCGTGCCCTCGGCCCTCGAATAATACAGGGCGCAATGGGTTGAGTCGTGAGAGGCAAACAGATCTATCTGTGCATCCCCTAACTGGTCCCAAATCAGCTGAACCGAGTGGGGATGGAGTCGCCATTCTCCAGGGGGCTGGAGATCGCACTAACTGAATCGCGTAGCCGAGCCTGATCATCCGAGCGACCCAGTGGGACAGATTGGGAAGCTCTAGCCAGGCTCCCAACGACTCTACCAGCGGGGTCATACAAACCACAGACTTCCCATCTGTGGTGCAGAGAGGCGGAATGACTGGCCCAGACGTGGACGGTATAGTGGTCCGGTGTGGGGGGGATAGACGTGTCATTGACCGTGCCCTGACAGAGGAGACCAGAGGGGCTCTGCCAGGGGGCTGGTGACAGAGGAGGATGAGAGCGGTATGGTCCGGAAACGGCGTGCACTGTTAGCCAGCTCTGGGGACAGGAGGACAAGGGGTGCTTGGCTCGGGGGCGGCGCACCATGTCGTCCGAGAACTCTGTGTGCTTAGAGATGGGAGAGTCAGTTCTTTCTGAGATAAGGATTCTCCCCCGGCCCTCCACCAGGGTAAGGAGTGGCCCTGCTACCAGCTCCTGGAAAAAACTGAATCTCATCTTTGAGCAGCCTATCTCAAGAGTGCTGCTTAATCAGGCGTATAGCGGGGGCAGGCCAGAGAGGGCTGTGGCATCCCCCTGTGTCTTCCAGAACCAGCCCGGGTGAACGGGAGGAGCAGGAGTGAGTCTTGACCATAATGACGGGATGGTTACGTTCCCACGGGGAGAACATGAGTCATCCACAAACGCTGCTCTACCATGATCAAGCCCAAGCACGCAGAGCAGAGAATGTGCCCATCAAAATCGGAAATGAGTCGACCACAACCAGAAATACATGGACGAGCCTTCTTTAAATAGATGTGCCGTGTGCAAGCTCTTTTGTGAGAAGTGACGACAACTCCACAATGAAGCGAGCTGGGAGAAATACACTCATTGCACAGATCAGCATGCAATGTGAGCTCGCTGTAGATCGCTGTCACACCAACACTGGAGAGAGTGGTTCGTCCCGTAGAGCAAAGTCAGAAATGGCTGTGGAGTGAAGAGATACTCTTGGCTTTGAAGCAAAAACATATCTGCATGTTGTCAGCGTCCTCCTTTATACCCACGAGGTAAGGAAGAGATACGCTATGCAAATTCCACAGATCTATGGCATTTCTTTGCCATTGGCTCGTTTTGTATACTTAAAGTAGATAGTCTCTCTAAGCGAAACCCCATCCGATGAAACTCGGAGTGACAAAGAAAGGGTGATATTTCTTTTGTGATATTTGTCAAATGTTGATGCATAAAGGGACAGTTCAATTTGAAGTTATTTTTTGGTATGTTTTAGCATACCTCAATGGGATCCAAGATGTAGGTATCTTTGTTTCCGCAGTAGTTTCAATTTTGATATTTTTAGGTCAAACTGTTTGTGTCTATCAGTCATATAATGGAGGTCTATGGTCACCACCTTAAAGAGCATGCACAGAGCAGTCCAAATTAAACATGATTTAATGACTCGTAAATGTGAGAACAAATTGATGGCCTAAGACATGAAACGAGCGCTTTGTGTGAGAAAACGAACAGTATTTATATTGTTTTTACCTCTTCTAACCACAGCCACATCCAAGTGATCTGAGGGCGCGGGCGATTTGTGGCTGTGGTAACAAGAGGTAAAAACGATATAAATACCGTTCGTTTTCTCACACAAACCGCTTCGTGTCTTAGGCCATCAATGTGTACTTACATTTATGAGTCATTAAATCATGCTTAATTTGGACTTCTCTGTGGATGCTCTTTGAGGTGGTGACCATAGACCTGCATTATATGACTGACAAGAATGGTTTGACCTAAAAATATCAAAATTTAAACTACTGTGGAAAGAAAGACATTCCCTTTAATATCCATTTAACATAATGATTCAGTGCAGTAAATATTATACATGGAGATAAGGACAAAGGAAGCTTTTCATAGGATCAGGACATTTTTACAAATATTGTCCCACTTTTATTAAATGTCGACATATCTTTAACTACTTACATAAGAAAATGTTTTAGTGCAATATCCTCATTGTGTTCATGCCTTATCTTGTTATTTAGATGGGAAACAGGTATGGTATAATCATTAACATATTTTTTTTTTTTTTTGGTACAATGTCCTTATGGGTTCATGTTTTATATTTCTTTTGATGTGGGATGCAGGTAAGGTTAGGTACGTTAATCATTACCTAAAAATGTATACTTGTAGAAAGTAGAAACTGTTTAATTGTTTTATTCCTCTACATCATTAAATATGTTGACAAAGGATGAATTAATGGATTCTTGAGCTTTCAGTTATTTTATATATGTGCTGTGCCTGTGTGAATAACACAGAAAAATATGTACTTTTATTGTTTAGCTCAGTCTGTAATATAAGTATATGGGTGGTTATTTCCTTGACTGATGGACTTCCCACTCCAGCAAAGATCCAGCCCTTTATAAACCAGACAGTAACAAGACTTCATATTAGTTAGTTTTATATTTGTGGTGTATAATGGACCACTTTCTACTCTTAATCTTTACCACAGGTAAGGTTCACTTTTAAAATTGTTAGAATTTTTATACAAGTTAATTATATATAGTTATACTATGTTATTATTATTAACAAATAATAGCAATATTTTTCCACCATTTTCTTTAGAATTAATTAATAATGGACATGTTTTAGACAATAATGCATTATGATTTCACTTTGATGCTTTATTTGATTGTGCAGCAAGACACTTTTAATCTTTTGTTTCTTTCTTAACCCTTTTTGCACAACTTGCATTCCTGAATGTGTGCTAGTTCTCGGTTCATTTCATATCACAGTTCAGTGTAACCACTACATGTCACATTTTCCAAATACTTGTGACATAAAAGCAGCCTAATTTGACTAATGCACTATACATATCGCTACAAATCACATTAAGGAGGTCTATGTGATGTGTTTGTGTATATGAAGTGAATATTTTTGATCTGACCCATAGAAATTACTTTTATTGCTATAGCCCAATTTACTCAAGTCATATCAAATAGTTTTTGACTTAATTTTGATGTTTTAACTAAAGTTTTGTTTGAGACTACACATTTCTGCTAATATTTGATGTTATTTAAAAGAGGTTTTTCAACCTGCCTAAAGTGGCTAAATGGCACTTAGAAATCAAAACAAACGGAGATTGATTTCAGGTTAGACAGATTAATAGCTGGTTAATCTATTTATTGATCAAAATGTATTCATAACTCAAAATGTATTAAGTTATGTCAATCAATGGCCCAGCAAAATATCAAAGTCCATACAGACAGCTAGATAACAGAAAAAGAGGTCACGAGGCAAATAATTGAACAGTTGAGCTCACAAAAGCAGGAACAGGGAAAAATCTTAAATCGATCTGGCAGCCAGTTTATACAGTCCATAAGAACAGGCAGAGAATCAGACCCAGGCAGACGATCACTTGACGCATGTTAAAACGCAGACAGGAACAGATAGAAATAATCCATCAAAGCAAGTTACTAGCTAGTGGTAGCGAGAATCAATGGCATAAGAAAGCCGGTCTGAAAAAAAAACAGAAAAAAACGTATAAACCTGTAGTCAAATAGACGAAACAGGCAATGAAAGAGAAAAACTGAGGGGTTTAAAAAGGAACACATCAGGGAAAAAATATGAGAAACAGTTGTAAGAGCATGTATGGCTGCATTTATAACAAAGCCCAAACAGCTGTGTGTGGCCGACACATGAAAAACGCAAAAAACTTGAAGGAGATCAAACCTGCAACCTAACTGATATCCATTGTATGTTTTGTCTCTGTAAACAGCTGTTTTTGAACAGACTGAATCTTTTCAAATAATCAAGACCACTATAATAAGCAATGCATCACTTGGCTGCTCAACACTTGGCTGCTCAAAAGTCGACGACTCAACAGTCGACTCCTCAACACTCGGCTCCTCAACACTCAGCTCCACAATAGTCGACGACACATCAGTCGACTCCTCAACACTCGGCTCCTCAACAGTCGACGACACATCAGTCATCTCCTCAACACTCGGCTCCCCAACACTCAGCTCCACAATAGTCGACAACACATCAGGCGACTCCTCAACACTCAGATCCACAATAATCGACAACACATCAGGCGACTCCTCAACACTCAGATCCACAACAGTTGACTCCCCAACACTCGGCTCCTCAACACTTAGCTCCACAACAGTTGACTCCCCAACACTCGGCTCCTCAACACTCAGCTCCACAACAGTTGACTCCCCAACACTCGGCTCCTCAACACTCAGCTCCACAACAGTTGACTCCCCAACACTCGGCTCCTCAACACTCAGCTCCACAACAGTTGACTCCCCAACACTCGGCTCCTCAACACTCAGCTCCACAACAGTCGACGACTCAACAGTCGACTCCTTAACACTCGGCTCCTCAACACTCAGCTCCTCAACAGTCAACTCCTCAACACTCGGCTCCTCGACACTCAGCTCCTCAACAGTCGACGACACATCAGTCGACTCCACAACACTCGGCTCCTCAACAGTCAGCTCCTCAACAGTCGACGACACATCAGTCGACTCCACAACACTCGGCTCCTCAACAGTCAGCTCCTCAACAGTCGACGACACATCAGTCGACTCCTCAACACTTGGCTCCTCAACACTCAGCTCCACAACAGTCGACGACACATCAGTCAGCTCCTCAACACTCAGCTCCTCTACACTCGGCTCCTCAACACTCGGCTCCTCAACACTCGACTCCTCAACACTCAGCTCCTCAACACTCAGCTCCTCAACACTCGGATCCTCAACACTCAACTCCTCTACACTCAGCTCCTCAACAGTCAACTCCTCAACACTCGGCTCCTCGACACTCAGCTCCTCAACAGTCGACAACACATCAGTCGACTCCACAACACTCGGCTCCTCAACAGTCAGCTCCTCAACAGTCGACGACACATCAGTCGACTCCACAACACTCGGCTCCACAACAGTCAGCTCCTCAACAGTCGACGACACATCAGTCGACTCCTCAACACTTGGCTCCTCAACACTCAGCTCCACAACAGTCGACGACACATCAGTCAGCTCCTCAACACTCGGCTCCTCAACACTTGGCTCCTCAACACTCGGCTCTTCAACACTCAGCTCCTCAACACTCGGCTCCTCAACACTCGGCTCTTCAACACTCAGCTCCTCAACACTCGGCTCCTCAACACTCGGCTCCTCAACACTCGGCTCTTCAACACTCAGCTCCTCAACACTCGGCTCCTCAACACTCAACTCCTCAACACTCGGCTCCTCAACACTCAACTCCTCAACACTCGGCTCCTCAACACTCGGATCCTCAACACTCAACTCCTCTACACTCAGCTCCTCAACACTCGGCTCCTCAACACTCAGCTCCCCATCACTCAGCTCCTCAACATTCCGCTCCTCAACACTCACCTCAACACTCCAGACTAGAACCCAGAGATCCACCACTACAGCTGCCCCGAACACAACAATGATCGAACCCAGTCTGGTGTGTGAAAACAAGGGTATCTTACAAAACGGGATCTGCCTCTGCCCAGACGATTGGACTGGAACTACCTGCAACATCTGTAAAACACTTTGAAAATATTTCGCATTTACACTGAATAATCTTGATTAAGTTGTCATGGTTACTGACAGTCTTCTCTTATTTTTACAGCAAATTTTTGTCCTGAACAAAAGACACAAACTAGTAAATTCACCTTTCCAAAAACGGTCTTAGGCCAGTTTGCTTCCTCAGTTGAGCGATGTCCATCACATACACCAAATGGTATTTCAGTCTATCTTTCAGTATTTACAATATACATTCTACTTTAAATATCTCTTCTTTTAACATGAATGTTTTTCAGCTGGAATCCCCAAAGCTTCAGCCCTCTGTAATATATCTACTCACTTATTTGATCCTCCAAACCTTCTAGATTGTGGTTTGACCCTGGATACCATTAACAATGGTGTAAGTAATCAATGTCTAATAATTATAATAGTCATATAAAACATGAATTTCCTCAGATGAAAACAGAAATGATTGCATAAATCCATTTTTTTTTTTAATGAAGCTTACTGGAGCTACTCAAGCCGAGGTCCTCTCCTTAGCCTCCAGTACCCAGATTCTCACATCCATACCAGAACGGCTAACAGCCCACAACATCACAAATGCTGTTAATATAGCCAACATCCTGCTCACCCGTGATGAAACTGAACAAAGCACGGTACTTATTAAGCCTTAAACAGATTTTAAAATGTAAAGTCTGCTATGAGGGACATTTCCACATTTTCTCCATTTAAACTGTGTGTGTGTGTGTACAGTACCTGTTTGGAAGTTTGGAGACATTAACCTTTTTATGTAGTAGAAGGAAATCCAAGGCACTCTTCTTTAGAAAATTATAAAAAGCCTTCATTAGACTGGCCATTTCATGATGTAAAATTAGGCTTGCCTAATTAGGAACACCTGAATGATAAATTGCATGCACATACAGAAAAGGTCCACTATTATAATACTTTTGTACACAGATGAGCAAAAACATTATGACTACCTCCCTAATCTGCTGTCGGTCCTTTGCATATTGTGGAGGCATGAACTCTACAAGACCCCTGAAGGTGTCCTTTTGTATCTGGCACCAAGACATTAGTATTGACATTAGACATCATTCATAAGTCCTGTAGGATGCAAGGTGGAGCTGCCATGGATTGAACTTGTTGGTACAGAACTGAGGAATTTGGAGGCCAGTGCAACACCTTGTACTTTTCATCATGTTACTCAAACTATTCCTGAATAATGTTTATTGTGTGGCAGAGAGCTGCCAAAAGAGGCCACTTCCACCAGGGAACTCCACTGTCATGAAGGAGTGGACATAGTCTGCAACAGTGTTTAGGTAGGCGGCACATATCAAATTAATGTCCACATGAGTGGCCAAACCCAGGGTTTCCCAGCAGAACATTGCCCAGAAAATCCCATCCCTCCTCCGGCTTGTCGTCGTCCCACAGTGCATCCTGGTGCCATCCCTTCCCCAGGTAAATGGCGCACACGTGCACAGCCTCCATGTGATGTAAAGTAAATCGGGATTCAGTGGACCAGCTGACCTTCTTCCACTGCTCCAAAACCCAGTTTCAACGCTCTAGTGCCCCATTGTAGACACTTTCGACGGTAGACTTGGGTCAAGTAATCTTCATTTACATAGCGCTTTCAACAATGCAGATTGTTCTAAAGCGCCTTTACAGTGATAATAGGAAATTAAAGTAACAGATTGTTTTTCACTTTATGGTAGCTCTAAAATAAAGTTATTTTCCAATTAAAGTTAGTTTTGATTGATTCACTTCCGTTGCAACGATCATTAGTTATTAACTATTAACCCGTGTTAGTTATTAACTAAACCACATTTTCTAGATTACAGTGTTTGTTAGAATATTAGTGCCTCACAGAACCTGTACAGCATGTGTCAAATATAAAATTAAATAACTTGTATTATTTGTGAAAAACATGTTAACTCCTCACTACCTTGTCATCCCGCAGAAACTACTAGTGATGTGGCCCATTATTTTAGTGAAAAACATGTTAAAAAAAAAACTCAATTTCGATCAGATCTTTATTCCTGCCCATTTCTCCTGCATTCAACATGTTTTCTTACCATTTAATCTACCCAGAGCTTGTGGACTTGTTAGAAGATGATCAACAGTATTTGCTTCACCTGTGACCGGTCATAATGTTTTGGCTCATCAGTGCTTATACAAACCAGAGTTGTTCTGAGAAACTCTTTTTCTTCATTGTTCAGGAAATTGCAGTGTCAGCAGTCGCCACAGTCAGTCAGCTCCTGAACGCGAGTCATGGGATATACTTTTCTGTCGACCAAGCTGCAATAAATGAGTAATAAAACAATTCACACTTACTGCACTGACACACAGAACCATCTCAACCAAATTCGTAAGTACTTTCTTTTTGACCTGCTATCTGACTTTTTAATTGTGTTTGTTTAGACTAACACAGACTCTACAGAAATTCTCTCTGCGTGAGAAGTCAAATCCATTGCTGGTGCAACCGAACATGGCAGTGCAGTCACTGGAGGGGAAAACTCCAATCCGACAAGTGCGATTAACCTTTTTTAAAGGCAAGTTTGAAGCTTAAATATACAACAGAACTCTCTAGAAAAAAGGTGCATTTATGAAATGACAAGATTCCGACGTATATAGTTCATAACCTTGTAGAACTCGACCTGTAGGATTACAGTACCACCAGGCACTACGTATTTTGGCATTAAAAGTGTTACCATAGAGATGCATACAGTAATTACAAGTTTATGGACATGAACAGCTTAGAGTACAATGTCACATGTTGTCATTTTGTAATTAAAGCTGCAGTCGGCAAGTCTGGCAGATTGAGTGGACTTAGGCAAAATTTTGAATGTTTACAACTCATATGGCCCTCCCCCACTATCAACGAATACCCTCCCACAGAGTTCGTGCTCGAGTGCATACGCACCAGGTTATCTGTGAACGCGCCCGTCTCATTATTTGGAGGTACAGGGGTTGGACAATGAAACTGAAACACTGGCCAATGTTGGAGGTTTCACATCTATATGCCTGGCGGCCAATCTTCAGAGTGAAGCACGGGTGGATCAGTGATGGTTTGAGCTCCAATATCATGACAATCCTGATTGTATTTGATGGACACGACACTGCCGAGGACTACCAAACCCTTCTGGAGGATCATGAGCACCTGATGCTCAAACCGCGTATCAGCATGATCATGCACCAACACACACAGCAAGACTTGTGACAGAAGGGTTTGATGAAGATGAAAGTGACGTTGAACATCTCCCATGGTCTGCACAGTCACCAGATCTGAATATTATTGAGGTGTTTTGGAGGAGCGAGTCCACCAGCATCATATAGTGACCTGGACACTGTTCTGGAAGAGGAATGGCTCATTATCCCTCTGGTCACTGTGAAGGACTTCTATCTGTCAATTGGTGCTGTATTTGGATGCAAAATGAGGCCCTCACCATTCTAACAAATTATTGTGTTGTGAAACCAGGTGTTTCAGTATCATTGTCCAACCCCTGTATGTAACACAGTCTCATCCCAAAAAGTCATATAACTGACGTCTTGGGACGTTTTTTGACCATACGTCAATATCCGCCTTTTTAGGGCCCCCTTAAACGTCGGTAGATGGCGATCCCGGGCCGTCATACAACTGACGCTTTACCTTTAACGTCAGTTAGGTGACGGGTTAGGTTTAGGGTTAAGTTTAGGTCTGGGGTAGAGTTAGGATCCCATAACCTCATCTACCGACGTTTAAGGGGGCCCTAAAAAGGCGAATATTGACGTATGGTCAAAAGACGTCCCAAAACGTCAGTTATATGACGTCTTGGGATGAGACCGGGTTGCTGTATGCTGCCCTGGCTAATCTACCAATATATTGCAATTGCTAATGTCATTTATACTCTAAATGAGCTTACTTGGTTTGTTAGTGTTCTGCCATCACGCTTCCTTACTGCGCAAACTTCAGGCGTGTGCATGTGATTGTAACGTGCGCGAGGGGTGGTGTGTGCCCGATCTGTGATTGACAGTCACATCTCACACCCCCTGTGCTGATTGCACCCGATGATCCGGGAGCGCTGGATTTTTGCAAAACAAATAACATGCTCCAGATGGAGTTAGAAGCTTGTTTTTTTTTTCTAAAACAACTTTATTTGTGTTGTTCTGTCGGATTATAGTGTCGATTTCACTGAATATGATCAAAAAAATGTTGCCGACGGCAGCTTTAAGACATGGTGTGAATGCCACAGAAGAAGAAAAGTCATGATGCAGTGTTTTTATTTTTGTACACTGCTGGCCAAAAATGTGGAATATTTTAGAAATTTTAATGTTTTCATATGAAGCTAAGAGGACAGCGATCTCCAACTGAATGACAGCAGAGTTCTGGCCTCGTACTGAAGTAGAAAAAACGCTGCTGTATCTGTGCAGACGCCTTAAGAATAGAACAGCCGAACTAGACTCTGGAAAAAATATGGAATGCGGTAGCCAATGCGTTCCTACTCTGTACTAGTGGCACCAATGGAACGAGCGAGGGGGAGTAGGAGTTGCTACAGTATGTTGTGAGGTTTTGCATCCCTTGGCACTCGTGGTGAATGGAGTGTCAAAAAACTTACTTTGCTCACAGGACCCACTGTCGAGGGGACTGCACCTCATTGATACTCTTAAGGCCAATTTATACTTCTGCGTCGAGGGTACGCCGTAATGTACGGCGTTGGCTACGCACGTAGGCGACGCCGTTGTGAACATTTATACTTCTGCGTTCAGGTCTTGGTTGCACTGCAGTACTGCTCCGAAACGCTAGTTGGCGGCGGAGGGTTTTAATGTTCCACTGTGTTTAGATTCCTCACGGCTAGGTTACTACAAGCAATAGCGACTGAAAGAGAGCTGATCATGTTGGAGTTGGAGCTTATTGAGGTGGAAAAACAGTTCAATTTAGTGAAATTACTAAAACTGAAAGGCAGAAATGAGAGAGGACGTCGGAGGAGATGGTACGTGTGGAAATCATAGATAGTGGTGGAAATGCGTGAGAAGGTACGTGCGGAAATGCGTAGAAGGAAATGCGATGCTACCAAGCCGACCAATCACCGATCTTGCGGTCTGCGTCGTCGCGACGTGTAGTTAAATTTTTGAAGAGGTGTGCGTCAGGCGACGGCGAAGGGTACGCGGTATGGGACGCGTCTGTGCGTATGCTACGCCGTACCTACTGCGCGCACCCTACGCAGAAGTATAAATTGGCCTTTACACTTACATTTCTCTCTGCATAGACCTATTGCAACAAATTGCGGGGAGCCCAAGTATTTGTATCCATCAAGGATCTGGGGCGAGTAGTCAATGTCTGGCCATCGCAAAAAACAAAAAAAAACAAACAAAAAAAAAACAAGGTCCGTTAACACCATGTGTGTGTGTGACCCAGGGAAAGAGACAGCTCTTATTTTTCTGACCATGTAAAGGTCTCTCCACCCTCCCATGGGAGTGAGGCTCACCCAAAGTCCTGAGGCCCCAAGTCCTGTTCTGGCTGAAAAATGTTCCTTCTACGACTTTGAAATCTCAGGGAAGAGCGGGACCTGTAATTTAATTGTTTAGTTGGTCTCGTGTCCCATTGAATAACATGGGGAGGCGGGGGTTATGAGCTATACTAGGTCCGGTCACAGGGGGGCGATCGAGACGTTTTGGCTTCACTTTTGAGGGCTTGTGTGGCACGCTTGGCCGTGACTAAGAGCTGGCAAGCTACCAGCTGTTAGCCACTTAACTAGCTAACAACGCTACCTAGTCAGAGCAAACAACCACCAAAATCATACATTTGATTGTTTTTTAATAATACATATTACATTTCCCATGATTAAATATTAATCCTTGGTGGCCAGGTGCTGCACTATTACGTCTTTTACTCATCCAGCCACAGCATATTGATATGCCTCGGTACTCTTGAAAGCCTTCAAGCGATCAATTAGCCTATGGGGGAGGGTTTATGGACAAGAGATATGTGTATGATATATACATATCATGGAAGCCATGTCTGGGGCAGATAGTAATGGATAAAAGAAAACTGGGGGTAACAAATAAGGATCGGAGGCTAAAATCTCAGTCTCTCTCTCTCATTCAAATGGTCAGTTTGGTCGGCCATACCGAGCGAGATCGGTCGTAAATATGGCGGTGTTCTCTTTGGAGTGACGTAGATGGCATCTGTGAATATGAAGAAAATTGCCTCTTTCAGAATGCCGCTGATACTCCCTGCACTTATCTCTGCAAACGCTGAGAAAGACAGCTGATGTTTGCTCTGGTTCCACACGCCAATTTCATAAAGGTGTTTGGGGCTACCAAGAGTGGCCCCTAGTATCTTTATTTCAACACAATGTCAGAAAGGGTACTATCAGTATACTACAAGTTCACTTATGCACTAAAAAAAGTGGGCCAATTTAGTCCCAAATAGTATTGAAATAGTACACACAAGTATACTACTAGTATTTTGATATTATTATACTTAGAGATAAAGTAAAAATGTTCTTGAACTTTACTTATGTATACTGAATAAAATGTAATTATGTTGTTTGTTTTTTTGTAAGGGTTTGGATTGTTAGCGTGCTTCTAACAGTCATGTTTATCTTCATTTCTTTAGGGCTGAGTGATACCTTTTTACCTGACAGAATAAAACTGGATACGACACAGGCTGAGATTTCCAAAGAATCCATTGACTTTCAAATGAATGTCATGTTCAGTGAAGGTCCACTTTCCCCCTTGTTTTTTTTTCCACATGAAATTATTGGTTGAAAGTGGTATTTTAAATATTGTAACTTTGTCCCTTATTTTTGTAGATTTTGATAAAGATGTTGGGTTTGTCCTCTATGATAGCGATCAGTTCTTTCAGTCAAAAAGCTTTCAACCTTCTTTGAATACCAAAAGAAGAGTAATATCTGCTAACCTTCAAGAAAATCTCGGCTTTGACCACATTGAGTTTGCTTTCACACCATCGGTGAGCAGCTAGTCCAACAACACAACACAACACGCCTTGCTGTAGCTTATTAATGGTACTCTTAAAAATAAAGGTTCCAAAAGGGGGTTTTGGTTCCCTTAATAAGGAAACTTTCAGTTTATAGTCCTAAACCATTTTTTTCTTAGTTTGACATTGTCAGAGGTTGGCACAGGTATGGTGTTCATGAATTAATACATTGTTGAACTTTCAGGTCGATTCTACACTATCCCTCAACGACTTTGCATGTGTGTTTTGGAGTTACACTGAAAAAGACTGGAGCCCAGAAGGCTGCTCCAAAACATTGAACTCCTCAGGTCATGTAGTATGCAGCTGTAAAACGAAAAATGTTAAAAGTGCAT